GCAATTACTTAACGGGAGAAAAGTTTCTGTGCTATTTAATGAAAACTTGTAAAATAATGTTGCGTCCTACCACATACAAAATAAGCTGGTATCAGAACAACCAGCAGTTAAAAGATATTTTTTAGTTAGATTTAGTTAGATATTTAGTTAGATATCCCCCCCCCCAAAAAAAAAATTATAGTCCTTTTTCCACCCAGGGTTAGACCTTGCCTGCAGCCGGGAGGTGCCCACCGCTGCCCAGAGGTACCAGCTAAACTGAATCAGTTCAGAGGACACAGAGCATATGCAAACATTTCCATCTGAAACAGGTCAAAACCCACAAACCAAAGAGAAATTCGCCCATTTGAAAGGTGCCAAACTGAGGTAGAGAAGAGCCCAAGGTTTATCCAGGCTGAGGGAGCTGGGGGAGTTCAGTCTGGAGAAGAGAAGGCGAAAAAGGGGAGACCTCAGAGCCCCTTCCAGTGCTTAAAGGGGCTCCAGGAGAGCTGGGGAGGGACTCTGGATCAGGGAGGGGAACCATAGAATGAGGGGGAACGGTTTTACACTGAAAGACGGGAGATTGAAATGAGATCTGAGGAATAAATTTTTGACTGTAAGGGTGGTGAGCCCCTGGCGCAGGTTGCCCAGAGAAGCTGTGGCTGCCCCATCCCTGGAGGTGTTCAAGGCCAGGTTGGACGGGGCTTGGAGCAACCTGGTCTGGTGGGATGTCTCCCTTCCCATGGCAGGGGGTTGGAACTATGTGATCTTTAAGGTCCTTTCCAACCCAAACCATTCTATGACTCTATTCTGTATCATTCTAGTCTATATTCTCTGATTCGAGAACAAGCCCACTCCCTCCAGCAGCACCTCCAGCTACATTTTGATACAAACATTTTCCACTCCACTCATAGTTTATAATTCACCTTAACGACATTTCAATAAAACCCTTCAACGTTGCAAAACAGCTTAAAGTAAAATCTTCCCACTTCAGCTCCTGGACTACACAAGTTGGCGTCTTGGCATTTTACTCTCTGCTGACAGACTGGGTGGGAGAAAAGGGGGGCAAAAAAAAAAAAAAAAAAAAGAAAAAGGCAAAAAACCTGTTGTCCTGCTGACGCCCGGAGAGTCCCTGCAGCTCTTCACGTTACAGTGCTTCCCACCAGCGACCGTGTGTCATGGACGTCCTCCTCCCAGGACAGTAGGCTCCTGTTCAAGGAGAACATAAATTTTTTTAGGCAGACATATGTTGCTGATTAGCTTGGATCCCAGAAGGACGAGTGGCAATGCCTCCCCACCAAGGGAACACCATGTTTCCACGATCCATAAAAGTTTTGCGAATTCAGCCGTCTCCCAGTCCCACCGTACGCTGCTTTTCCAGCTATGTCCCATCTTTATAGAAGGAGGGTGAAAAAGAACGGCGGTACCATCTCATGTGAAATAGGATTTGGAGCCAGCATGGCAGTGAGATCTCCTAGGGCATCCTCTTGCCCAAATATTCACATTTGGATCGATATAGGTTTGATGAACAAAGAGTTTTGGGGGCTGGGGAAGACATTGTGGTTCAAATCGGGTTCGTAAAGACAACAAACACAAAGGAGCCATTAAGAGGAGACACACAAGTGGAGAGATAATAATCAGTTTTATTTTATAAATACAGATGAGCTTTCCCGCAATTACCAACATAGTTTTAATGTGTCATTTACTATGGGATATTCCGATTTTGCTTATTTTCAATACCTGGTCAAGCAAGGATAAGCCAACGCTGTTGTGCTTGCTAGAAAAATATAGTGGGATACGATCTTCCAAAACTAATATTCTCAAAAATCTCTGGAAAAGATGGCAACGACATGTTTTCTCCACTTGAAGACATTTGCGGACGTTTCACAGTGTCGCAGCTGTGCGGGAGGGAATGGAAAGGCTCTCGACAGTTTAAAGCACACTGTGATATATCAGCTCACCTTCAAACCTCCTATTTGTTTCTCTCCCACTACGCTATTTGCAAAGTAATTTACAGGGGTGTGTGTCGGGGGAATTCAACACACAAAAAAAAAAAGCAAGCCATGAGGTGGCTATGGTCTGTACAATCCCCCATCCTCACAGAGAGAAGTTTGTGAATGCTTTAATTAGCCCTACAATTCCGTTCCCCTTCATGCCACCTTCTATATAGACAGCGGTGAAAGGGGGAAGAGAAACGTGGGGACAATTTAAGGCCAACTACAGATACATCCACGAAAGCCCATCAAAGAAGCTTTGTGCGACAGATGCAGAAATCAACCGTTGTGTGCAACACATTGACAATTACAGGGCTCAAACAAAAACACAATATCAGGGAGGAAAACAAGACTTCATTTGGTCGGATGCCACCTGAGAAAATGCACAAGTAATGAAAAAAAAAAAAAAGAAAAAAAATCTAAAGTCCCACTGATGCTCTACAAACCTCATTTTACATGTCACTTAATTGCACCGAGACGCTCCATGTTTGCCTATGAAACATGGCGACTTCATGACGACTCTTTGGGTTGCTTTGAAAAGTCACCACCAAACACCAGCTAATGCCTTTCCACTAGAAAGGATGAGTGTGCCTACAAAGAGAAGGTCTGCACAGCTTTGAGTGTGCCAGATCCTGTCTCACAGGGCGCATGACTGACTCAATGGTCCCTAATTTCACCTAAAATTATGCTGTTATTAGAAATTGGTAAGGTATAGTCACAGGACAGAGTATCTTCTGCCCCCTTCATTAATAAAGTGGTTTTTTGCTCTCTATGCCAAAGCGCAGTGAGATCTTCTGCCCCATCTCTTCTCAAAGACAACAGCAGCGCTTTAAGCTGCTGCAGCGTTTCCTTTAGGGGAGGTTTTCATGAGCTTGTTCACAGAATGGTCAGTGTTGGAAGGGACCTCTGGAGCTCCCCCAGTGCCACCCCCCACCAGAGCAGGGTCACCTCCAGCAGTGGCACAGGACGGCGTCCAGGCGGGTTTGGGATGGCTCCAGAGGGGGAGACTCCCCCACCTCTCTGGGCAGCCTGTGCCACTGCTCTGCCACCCTCACAGCAGAGAAGGCCCTCCTTAGGTGGAGATGGAACTGCCGCTGCTGCAGCGTTTCCTTTAGGGGAGGTTTTCATGAGCTTGTTCACAGAATGGTCAGTGTTGGAAGGGACCTCTGGAGCTCCCCCAGTGCCACCCCCCACCAGAGCAGGGTCACCTCCAGCAGTGGCACAGGACGGCGTCCAGGCGGGTTTGGGATGGCTCCAGAGGGGGAGACTCCCCCACCTCTCTGGGCAGCCTGTGCCACTGCTCTGCCACCCTCACAGCAGAGAAGGCCCTCCTTGTGTTTAGATGGAGCTTCCTATGTTCAGGTTTGTGCTCGTTACCTCTTGTCCTGTCACTGGGCACCACTGAAAACAGACTGTTCCCATCCCCCTGGCACCCTCCCATTAAGGATTTATCAGCATTGATAAGATCCCCCCTCAGTCTTCTCTTCTCCAGACTAAAAAGCCCCAAGTCCCTCAGCCTTTCCTCATAACAAAGATGCTCCAGTCCCCTCATCATCTTTGTAGCCCTTTGCTGGACCCTCTCCAGCAGTTCCAGGGGAGAAGATACTCATGAATGTGTCCAACTTCATGCCCAAATTCACACCCGGAATCCCATTCAGCGCCTTACAGAATCGAGGTCTCTGCTTCCATCGAGCACATCATACCAGGACAGACCAAACATAATGAATCGCTATAGAAAGGCTCAATCCAACAACTCAACTGCAGACATAACCGTTAAAAGCTTTAACAGAAGAAATGTGAATATAATTTTTAATACAATCATTAAGGTGTTACCTGGAAAGATGCATATTCTATAACAGTGCTATTATGTATATTGGTTCTCACATACATGTCTTGTTTTGACAACAGATAGCTGAGGTTATACATATCCACATTTTTAGAAGTTAATTTAGCCTTACGGTGGAGTTAGGAAAAAGACTAGGTCATGGGTTCAAAAGAAAGCATAGACCAGGGAGGGGAAGGAAGAAAAAAAAAAAAAAAAGCCAGGCGTGATGAAGTGTTTTTTATTCTGCTATATATTTTTATATTTGAGAGCTCACAACCGAGCCCAGATTCTTGGGTATACAATATAAAAAGCAAGAGCAATGAAATCCAAACCCAACCAAATACCAGGAATCACCAAGCAGGCTGCAAACTGCTTTCCCGTTAGCGCAGCCGAACACATGTGCCAGTGGTAACCTACCTAACGGCAAACCGCACCTCCAGCCAACTGCTGGAAGTTTCTTCCTTTAAAGTACAGCCGGTTAAAAGGATATTTAATATAGATGAATAATGTTAAGTGCCTCCTTTCTACAGAGGGTGGAGCGATTCCACAAATTCACCTAATTCCAAAGCGCTGACTGCATTTTTTCAGTCTGGGGTGGGTTTTTTTGGGTTGTGGGGTTTTTTTTGTTTGTTTGTGTTTGGTTTTTTTTTTTTAAATGAAGATGACTGCAAAGCGCCTCCCAGTACGCCATCCCCCTTAAATCACCTCGGAGGGCAGGAGCCAAACCCCACTTCGGTAGTGCGTTCGTTAAATTCTCCGCTGATGAGGTCTGTGTCCCCACCGAAGCAGGGAACGGGCAGGCTGAGATTATTTTTTATTTTTTTTTTTTATAAGAAACCTTAGAGGCAATTTAGTCCTCGAGGTTTCTACTGGTGGGACAGGTGCTCATTCTCTGGCAAGTTTACACCACCAACCGAAGACCCATCAGTGCAAACCAGAACTTCAAAGGCCGCAGAGCAGAGCCAGGAGAAAGCTGTCCAATTATAACAAATTCACGGTATTTCTGTAACACTGACTACATTGCTCAAGAAAACACAGGAGTACACGGGAGAAGGTAAAGAGGCCTTACCATAAATGGACTTTTAAATTAACTCTTTTCTTTTTTTTTTTTTTCCTTCTGAAAAGATTAAAATAAATTTAACTCTAAATAATAATTAAGAAATCAACAAATATTTATAGTAGGGCCTGATCAGCACTAGGAGTTGTTTCCAGGAAAGCCTTTAATAAATGGATTCCAACACCTACAAAAAAAAAAATAATATTCCAACAGATTATAAATACCGGACATAAGAGGACTGGAAGCAGAATCAAGATTTACCTGGGCTGTGAATATACCATGATCCTGTGTTACCGTGCTTAAGTCCGTTTGTCTAACACCAAAGGAATAGCTTTAGCTTTTTTATTTATTTTTTTTTTATAATTAATATAAAGAATAAGTGCAATTTTATCTCTATTCCAGATCACTGATTTCACCTCAATGTCTGCTATCAAATCCCTGTCCAAGCTCACTTGTCCGAACTTTTACGCGGTCTGCGGAAGCTGGACATGTTTTCGTTCAGTGCATAGATCCTTCTAGAGAACTCCTCAAACTCCCCTAAGACTTGTTCGTCACACTCCACCGCCACGGCGTGCTCCACCGGGATGGAGTTAAAGTCTTCGAGCTGATCTCCCGTGCCGAACCCCGTCGCTTCCATGCCCATGATCTCCTCCGCTTGCTCCACAGTGCAGCAGAGGACGGGGCCGAGTGAGGGTCGAAACTCGCAGGGCTGCTCGTTGCTTGCAGCGCCGGAGCACTCGCCAGGCAGAAACGCCCCGTTTATTGCACTAGTATGTCCTAGGAAAGACTCCTGCCGGTCTTGGGTATTGTTTAGGCTCCCGTTTTCTCCGTTTAAACTGCTGCACAAGTTCTCGCCTTTCTTAGTATTTCCTTTCGAGGAGTCCATAGAGGTATCCAAGGAAGAAGATATCGATGTGTGTTTTTTATCCGGCTCTCCTACACGGGCTGCGATGGCGACAGGCTGCGTTAAAGCAGAGTTGTAACTAGGAGGAGGAGTTTTGTACTGTAGTCTTTCGTTTCCCGTGCTGGCTCGTTTGCGGAGTCCTTTATCCGGAGAAGGAAGCCCACTGGAAAAGCCAATATCCAATCTGCCGAAGCTAGAGCTCTGTCTCTTTGGAACGGGAATTGCACTGGATGTATGGTGTCGATCACTATAAAAGAAGGAAAGGATAAATCACAGATGTCAGGCACGCTCACGAGCAATACAGATGTTTAACCAAAGGCTGAAGCAATTATTTTATCACAACTCCGGGCTCCCTTTGGCCAACTACTTGTATCCTAAAGTGCTAAAACCCCAAATGTGTTTAATGCTGTATGAACTGCAGAAGACACCCCAGAGGACAGCTTTACTGAAAACCCGTAAGATCACGTAGGAACATTTACAAAGCTCCATGGGTTGAAGAGTCAATCACCCAAAAAGCACCACATTACATTAATTCGTACTGTTAACACCATTTTATAAGACCAAGCTGTACTTTATGAATTATTACTGTTGACCATATATTTATGTATTTATGGCCTGTACTGGGCCATCATAAACTCTTCAAAAGTGAGTAATAATGGCCGAATCCTCTAAGAGCGACTTCTTCCAACAGTGGACTTTCCTGACAGCTGCACAAAGGAGAAAAACCACACTTAACTTTGCTATTTGAAGAGGATTATTTTTGCCACATCTTCTGCTTTTCTGTGCCAATTGTTCCAAAACTTTTTGGACAAACGTCAACCTCGGTTTCTTGAGGAACACGAACTAATCAAGCTTAATTTACAAGTTTGATTTTACTATTTAATACAGTTCCACAGACCACTTACACTGCCTCAGGGTCTGTAATTTGGAACATCCGCTTTACGTCATCCAGGGTGTGTTATGTGAATTTTCCTTCATCGGCTTAATCCTTATCCAAATATAATCACCATCCTATATGCAAATAGTATGTCGTACATTAACTTAAGCAACTGGTTCATTTTCCTTCCAAATTTCAAAAAAAACAAAACAAAACACAAAACTAACCTATTACTGATCTGTGAAATATGTAACTCCAAGATTCAACTACTGTCAGCGTGAGTCTCCTTCATTAACCCCGTTTAAGAGAAACTTTCTACTCAAGGCCTGATACATTTTGGGATCAGTCTTGCAGGAGACAATATTGGAATAGCAGTTATGAGTAGCCCCTAGTGTGGATCTTTTTCCACATTATTTCCTTTTTGGTTTGGTTTTTTTTTTTTTTTTTTCTTGCCTGTGTAAATAGGATAAGTTAATACTGCAGAAAATCCCCCTGTGAAAAATAAGCATCCCCAGGGGAGGGCAGTGTGGAGTACTACTGCTCTTTCATTTCCTCTCCCATCTTACCTCCTCCCAGGCTGCCCCTTAACACAAGCCTAGGGCTTTCCTTCTTTTCCATAAAAACCTCAAATTACCTTAAGGAGAAGTTGCTTTTCAGAATTTACAGTTGCGGACAGTGAAGTAGGGAGATAAGCGCCACACGTGGAGCTAGCAGCAAAAACGTCAGCTTGCTTCTTAGATTTCAGCCGCTGGTTCAGTCCTTTTTAATGCAAACTCTGCATCGCATTTCCCAGCTTTGCTTGCAAAGGTTTGGAACGTTCTTACCAGAGGTGGCCAAACAGAAAGCGGTATGTACCACAAATGCTCACAGGTGCTGCATATGTGGTCTTGGAGACCAGCTCTCAAATCCCTTACTGACCAAAGACTTCAAAAGACTTCAACCAACTCCTACACTATCAACCGTTTATTTTTAAAATGGTGTAATATGACAAAAATGAGGATCTGAGGCAGGACGCTCATGAGCTTTATTTAGGCAATGTGCACTGCAGACATACTGGGGACGGTCTGTTCTCCCCTCCCCTTCTCCCAGTGTAGTGCTTTCTGCCTCGATTCACAAAAGAAATCAGTACTCGGTATTATTTATTTATTTGATTAGATTCTGTTGATCTTAAATCACTTTTTCCACATTTCCTCTAGGGTCACTGAATCTTCCTGAAGAGCAAGCACAGGGAAGTGCTAAAAAATACATAGCAAAATACCTTGTTTTGCTGCATTATTACTTTACAATTAAATGGTAAGTTTTAGGAATTTACCCAAATTCCAAGATGTGCGTATACCCACAAAGCCAGATATCATTCAAGACACTTCTCTGGGTCCAAGGACACATCATCCTACGTTTACATGAACTAAATGCTCACGGACAAGTGATAACTGATTACTACAGATCACTGTTCAAATTATGAGACAATTTGCAATTAAGTAGATGGTGCTTTCCAGTGCAAGACATCTAAGGTTTTTCTACCTTTCCCATTCCAGATATAGAGATGGTGCAGAGCTGAATTATCTCCCTTCTGCCCGGATGAGATAGCACGTAACATTGCGATTTGCGTGTCTCACCAAAGAGACATGGCAAGATACACGTCCCACCTTGAGGCACAGAAACAAGGACAAGCAGCAGCTGCGTACGATGGAACCGGGCAGGAAAGGTCTCCCTCCTCTGTACAAAACCGAGCCCAAAGCACAGGCTGGGACCAGTCTTGCTGCTAAGAGGAACTTAAGCCAGCCATGAGCTTTGAAGAGCACACAGAGAAGCCTCCAGGCAGGAGAGCAATGAGCTTTGCCCTACGAGGGCTTGGATACATGCACTGTGATACGCTCCACTGTGATACAATCCACCACCTTGTGGCTCTAAATGCGGGAGGCTCCAAAGACAGACAGGCAAAAAGGAAAGATGGGTTCTGTGCTCAGTCCCGTATCTTAGGTTGGGGGAAAAAACCCACTGTTGCTGAAGTTTGCTTTGTTCTGTTTGTACTGTATTGTCCATTCAAGATTCAAAGGGCACCACACTTGCTTTTCGCAGCTCTAGAATGAGGTGTATAAAATGTGTTCCTAAGTATGGACCCATTTGACAAATCGGTTGTCTAAGACCATTTAAAATAGCAAACACGAATGCAATTCAAAAGGAATGCCATTCTCATACAAGCTCCTTTTCAAACTCGAAGGCCACCGATTGCCACCCCCTTCCAAAAGAAACGGGTTGTTCCCAGACCCGATTCCAGCGTTCCATCCCCTGCAACAGTAACGACAGAAATCATTCTGCTCGGTTTATAGCAAGATGTGAATGAGGAGTCAAACGGGAATGTA